TATTTTACTCTTTCTCTCTCTTTTACTGAGTTCTGTATTGTATTTTCCTTAGAGCTACCATTTTGGTTGCAGAAATAAGACTAGGGTAGATTTGTTATACAAGATACTAAGCGGGGTACAACATCGTTGTGAGCCCGGTGTCCCAAACTATCCTGCGTGACAGCTGTAGAAAACTTCTGCTATCGCTTAAACAAATACCACACAACGGTTTCGTAATGCATAGGAGAAATAATATTAAAAAAGAGATGAAATCTTAGTAAGAAATCTATACACGGCATGTTAACGTGTTAAACATATCATTTAATTCAAGAAATATATAAATATCTGTACAAATAAATCATTATATAATACATAAGGGCAAGCTATGTATTTTTTATTAAGAATTTATTTTGTTGTTAAAAGACACAGCGAGTGTTCTGCAACACTGCTGTAGGCCCTTGATTTTAAATGTATACTGCACCAGAACACACAGAACAGTAGGAAATGTAAATGAAATGAAATGGGGTTTAGCGTCCTACTGTTCTGCTCCGAACTGGGCTAATAAAGAAGGGCATACGTCATACAGTGTGCTATGAGGGAAATTTTGCCCGGACATCGGCACTATCGCCTACTCCTATATCGAATTCCAACTGTCAAGGGATCTTTAACGTGCATGCCAATGTGTACACGTTTTTCGTCCCATCCGAACGACTGGACAGCTGTCCTTGTCAGCCCCTCCGTCCTGCATCACTGATAAAGGGGAACCACGCCGGAAAATCTGGATGAACTTTCTCGGCCAATGCAAGGATCGAACACCCAACCTCCAGGCTAGCGAGCCAGCGTCTTACCCATTGAAATGGGGTTTAACGTCCTACTGTTATGCTCCGACTGGGCTAATAATGAAGTCGGACAGACGGTAGGACATTTCATTTCATTTGCATCAAAACAGGGAAGAGAACTCTTGTTCTTGGAATAACAGTTTAAATACAATTTAACCACAAAGTGTCCCGATAAAAGAAGAACAGTGTTTCAAACGTCTTAAACATACATTATGTAATCTGCCTATTGCAGGTCTTTCTTTATTCCTGAACTATTATCTAAATTATTAATTAGACATTAAATAACTTATCCAGACCATAATCAACCCTCGATGTCATCGCTAGCCTGCAATATTTACTGGATTAGGATCCGATTTGCCGCTCAACTCTCATTTATGATTTAATCATGAAATGAATAATCGAGACTAAATTTTTTATCGTACTGACTTTAGTAATATTGTTCGAGGCTACACCGAACATTCAATCGCTAAATTCTCGGTTCAGAGTGGATCAATTTGACTGAATTTTTCAGCAAATTCCCTTCACATTATCTAGTTTTTAACTATTATAGTGAGAACTGCCAGCTCTTTATCTAATCTCCCATAATGTATGTTTAAGATGGTTTGCGTGATCGCTAATTCAAAGCAAAGCGAAATAAATCACATAAAAAAAAACGACATTAGTTTATGCCTTTTAGATATGCAAATATTAACATAACTTAGCGGTTATAGGAAATGTAATTTAGTTGTTTGGGCAATAAACATCAAACAAAGTTGTTCATACACCCCTCCCCCACCTCACTTCTAGTGACCCCTACGCGCAAGCGAATTATTGAAATAAAATTGAACCATATGTTAGTCCCGAAATAACCTAGTTTGTGTCGAGTGGACGTTCAACACAATTTCTCTTTCTCTGTTCATAACCCCAACCTGATTAAAACACAGGTCCTATTTCGTTTCGTTTTTTATAGTTCAAAATTTCGTTTTACTTGTCTTCCCTACACAAGGTGGAGGACATCGAATGTATAAAAAAAACGAAACGAAACATAGATCTGTATTTTAATCAGATTGTTTATAACCCAAGATCACACTGCTGACAAATTCGACTTAACCGAGTGACGAGAGCAAACGGAAAGTGATACCAGGTGCTTATAATAATAAAGCATAAATTATGCCCCTTAAATTCAGATGCACGCACACGATCCATAGCTCTCGTCCTCAGTTTTTGTATTCAATTATAGATTTTACATCATGGAACTAAAAATATAACTGATTCAAAAGAGGTTTCTGAAGCTATGGTGGCTGATTGGTAACATGTGATGTCGTGGTGTTGCCCTTCATAATGCATGATTTACAGTGGTACAGGACGAAAGGCCTGGCAGGGGATAACGTATAGCGAGCACGTAAAAGACCCTTGCCAGTTGGAATTCAATATAAGAGTAGGCCACAGCGCCGCTATCCGGGCGAGGTTTCCCTCACGGTACACTGTATAGCCTATGCCCGTCTTCATTAGCCCAGTCAGAGCAGAAGAGTAGGACGTTAAACACAATTTCATCGTAGGAATGATCTCTGTGTTAAAATTATATATGGAACGTGTTTAACCAGTTCTATCACATATGTGATAATGACCGACACCAATATTGCCCTTTAAACTATAGCTAATTGTACCGATATGTTAGACTTGACTAAATGAAATGAAATAGGGGTTTAACGTCCTACTTTTTTTTTTGCTTTGACTGGGATAATGAAGACGAGCATACGGCATACAGTGTGCTATGACGGAAACTTCGCCCCCATAGCGGTGCTACAGCCTATGACTCTTATATTGAATTCCAACTGTCAAGGGATATTTTACGTACACACCGATGACAATGGGGAACAACCCCGGAAAATCCCAATGAACTCTCTCGGCCAGCACCGGGATCGAACCCGCGACCTCCAGGCTAGCGAGCCTGCGTCTTACTCACTTAGCCACCGTGGCTTCCAGACTTAACTAACCACTACTTACTTTATTTCCAAGACCTCAGATTAAACAATATATATCTAAAAGAAACGCTAAAAAGCAGAGTATATTATAATTGGATAAAATATTTAAAACAAATCCTAGAAGCAATACCCTTTAATGGGAAAGTGCTATACTTTTTGTTCAGAACCATATAAATTTCAATACAAATAAATCATTATTTATCCATCAACGGGTCTTATAAAGCCCAATTACCATCACAAATAAGATCACCATCTGATCCGCATTTAAAATGGCGTGACAATGGCCCAAATTCTTTTATCTCATTCCTGCAGAATATGCTAAAATAAACAATCGACATTGCCACCTTGAACCCCAGTATGAATTACATGTGGCCTCCTGCCTTTCAATTCTTCATATCAGGTTTTTATTTCTGTTTTTTAAGTGAAAGGCACCGTCTAGAAACGCCAAGATACATATTTACACATGGTGTAAATCTGTCGGGTCGGTTGCATTGCGTGTCGGTGGTAAAAAGTACGGAACACCAACAGGGACAAAACTAGTATGACTTAACAAAGTGTAGTAGTAAGTCTTGCAAAAACTCCCAGCTACAGTTGTTAATTATATGACATAATTTCTGTAACATGATTTACAATTTCATATGCGTATTTACACAATCATATATAAACAAACAATTGCTATCAATGCATAAACAAGCAGCTCGCTGAAATATGGTAGAGTATCAAATCTAGCAAGTATTTCTAAGTGGGAACAAGTCGCGAAACCTCGAGTTCGAGTCGTGTACCAAGTCGCCGCCACCTGGAGTCCGAGTGGAGTCCAAAGTCTTTGACTTAGTACCGTGTCGAGTCGAGTCTCAAGCCGTTGACTTAGTACCGAGTCGAGTCTCAAGTCTTCACAAAGCTTAAGTCCCGTTCAAGTTCATCAAACGAGTCAGGAATTCATGGTGATTAAGGCAAGTTAGAGTTATGTCCCCTCGCCGCGACTAGACTCCTTTGCTCTTTCATGTCGCAACTGTCCTTACTGTCGATTCTCGAGTCGCGATAAATATTTCTAGTCGAGTCGCAAGTCAGATTCGTGTCCTAGTCACGGGACTCGACTTCCCACCGTTGGCTTTGGACCACAAGAAAACAGCATAAATTAGACAATCCACTGCCTTTGAAATTATAAAAGAAAGCTAAGAACAACGTATAAGTAATAACTGCCAACAGGCGTAGAAATGAAAACAAACATACATGTACGTTTATTACTGTTTTACAAACTGTATCTATGTCTTCTAAATACCACGTTCCTGAAGCAACGACTGCGAGTTTCACAACATCTGGCCGTTGCTTGTTTACTTCACAATTCCCGAACTTATAGCTATGTTATCTACAGACACGTGAGCAGCAGCGTCCAATCAGAGGTTGTGACATCGCGACCTCCACGGAAACCTTGACATTGAATGAACCTTGAACTTTGCAACTCGATTATCACAGGTAGACATTTTAGCTTGAAAGCGCGAGACTTGGTATTCGCGACGATCGAGGAATCTGATAGGCTCACAAGTTGGGCTTGTACCCAATAGAAATAAGTGCCGCAATATGCAGGGTATTACGTGAAGTCCTTGATAAGTTGTACGTAGTTAAAGCGAGATCAAGCCTGGTACTGAGACAGCTATTAGTAACTTGAAAAACAAAATTAACACTTGCGATAGTCACAATAACCCAGGTCGTAAATGGACATGCAACTCAATTTGGCTATTTGACTATAGTAAGTTCAAGGGTACAAAAATGCAAATTGTGTTTACATTTAGAATTGTTTACCAAAAGACTGCTATAAACCTTTAACACGTTTCAACCAACAAAACACCCCACATGCCCCCACCCCCCGTCAGTGGCTTGCGACGTGTACACATTGGCGTGCACGTAAAAGAACCTTGGCAGTTGGAATTCGATATAAGAGTAGGCCGTAGTGCCGCTGCTCAGGCCAAATATCCCTCATGGCACATAGTCGAACGCGAAACCCCATTTCATTTCATTTCCAAAACAGCGCCGGTATGCTGCGCTAAGATTCGAAGTTCCAAGTGCAAAAGAGGGGCATTCATTGTTTGTGTAAACGGGGGACTAGCGCAGAAGCTAATCCCACCCACTATAACAGAACCACTCGCGTGATTTTGATTGACATAAGAACCTATCATGCGTCTATTTTTAAAATCTCAAATTTCGAGAATTCAGCGGTGTTTATAAGTCAATGTCTGGGTTTGCTCAAGTCAGTCTAAATTTATTAACAGGACGAAAATAAGGTAAGGCTGTTCCTTTTTTTTTTTTATCCATTTCATGTTTTAATCTTTGCGGTTGCGAACCAAACAAATGTGTTCTTCTTTCATTTTCCTAACATTTCAGGGTATTTTTTAGTCATTTCATCATCAAGACAGCATTGGTGGCATAACAAAATTTGATTTCCTAATTTATTGTTCTTATCTTAATCGATATTGTTCCAATGTATATTGTATATTTTTATTGTTGTTTTTTATACATGAAATACTTAAGGATAATGAAATTTTAGCTGTAAAACAAAATATCTAGTTTTCTGTCTTTTAGTAAAGATGCACTATGTAAGATTTAGATAAAGAGCTGACAGTTCTCGCTATAATAGTTTAAAGATAGATAATGAAAAGGGAATGTGTTGAAAATTTCAGTCAAATTACCTTATTTTGAGCGGGGCTATTGTCGTTTAAAGAATATTTTACGATAATAAATAAAGTCTCGATTATCCATTTTTGGATTAAATTATTAACTAGCAATCGTGTTAGCATCCGATGCTCTGGAGCAGTGGTTCTCATCATTTTTGCCAACGGCACACCTTGGAACACATGAAAAAATAGCGGCACACCTGGCGAAATATATATATGAAAAATATTTGAATTTTGCAAAATAAAAAAATAGCAAGTCATATACGGCATACAACCGTAGACACAGACTAGTCATAGACACAAAGAATGACTCAAACTAAATAATGAAAATCACAGCTGCTCATTTGGGATCACGTGGTTTTTCGCATTTCATTAGAATGTCGTTCAAAATTTCGCGGCACACTTAGGAAGATCTCTATTATTATTGAGAATCGTTGCTCTAGAGCGTTGCTTCTGAGCTTGGAATATGAATCAATGTCTAACTAATAATCTATATCAAATCTGAGGCCTGCATTAGGCAGACTTGGCTCTTACAAGTTTTGTTTTCCTGATATTAATTTAATTTCTCAGTCCGAAAAATGAAATGAAATGGGGTTAAACGTCCTACTGTTCTGCCCCGACTGGACAGGCATACGCCACGCAGTGTGCTTCGAGGGAAATTTTTAACCAGGCAGCGGCGCCATGGGCTACTCTTATATCGAATTCCAACTGCCGAGGGATCTTTTACGTTCACGCCAATGTGTACAAGGGACCTCTGTTTTTCATCCCATTCGAACAACTATACATTGTCCTCTGCCAGGCTCTCTCTCATGCACTACTGACAAGGAGGAACCATGCCGGACCATTATCTGATAATCAAGACATTTTATTTATATATTATTTCTGAAAAAATTGAAAGGTATTCCGAGTGCTCCGTTTTTATAAAAGAGAGGTTTTTAAAATAGATTTATATTCATCAGGTAAAAAATCTGTTCTAATCATATGAACTACCCGGATGTTGGTAGTTAGCTACAGTCTGGACTGTTTTCTTCGCCATTTGTATACAATCAATTCAAGTTGTATATAAAAGACGAAATTAGACATTTGCTCTTCAATAAAGCATGTCAGTTACAATACTGATGTTATCCAGACATTACCACTTGGCTGATCAAATCCGTTTTATTTTCCTGTGTTGGTCGGGAAGGTTCATCGGGATTTCCCGGTGTGGTTTCCTCTCGTCAATAGTGCAGGATGGAGGGTCTGACAAGGACAGCTGTCTAGTCGTTCGGATGGGAGAAAACATCGAGGTCCCGTGTACACTTTGGCGTGCACGTAAAATATCCCTTGGTATCTGGAATTCGATATAAGAGTAGGCCGTAGCACCGCTGTCTCGGCAACATTTCCCTCACAGCACCGTGTGTGGCCTATGCCCGTCTTCATTAGCGCAGTCGGACGTTAAATCCCATTTCATTTCATTTTTCCGTTTTATTTTTCTGTTTTGTGACGATACCACATGATAACAGAAATAGATGAGTAAGACATTGGCTCGCTAAGCCAGAGGTCCCATGTTCGATCCCATTGATGCAGTACAGAGGGTCTGACATTGGCGTGCACGTAAAAGCACCCCTGGATTTGATATAAGAGTCGGTCGTAGCGCCACTATCCAGGCGAAATTTCCTTTATACCCTACTGCATAGCGTATGACCGTCTTATTTAGCTCAGTCGGAGCAGAATAGTAGGACATTAAACCCCATTTACTTTTACTTTTAATACCCCGACAGCACCCGTTTACTATTGAGCGTGGTTTTAAAATATGAACTACTAGCCTAGAGTGAATCTCAATAACCCATAATGTGTCAATAATTATTAATTGTCAATTCTATCATTAAATATTGCACCAAATACAACATAAATAATATATTTAAACACATTGATTATTTACCATTTAATTAAAGATGCATTATGCAAGAGCTAATTCTGTCTATTCCAGGCCTTTCGTTAGGCCTGAAATGTTATATAAATTATTAATTAGACAATTATTAACATAACAAGACCATAATCAACTCTCGATGTCATCGTTAGCCTGCGATATTTATTGGATTAGGATCCGATTTGCTGCTCAACTTTCATTCGTGATTTAATCACGATAATGGATAATCAAGACTATGTTTTTTATCGTACCGACTTTAGTAATGATGATCGAGGTTAGACCGAAAATTCAATCGTAAAATTTCGGTTCACAGTGGATCAATTTGGATGACATTTTCAGCAAATTCCATTTATATTATCTTGTTTTTAACTATTATAGTGAGAACTGACAGCTAATCTCCAATTATGTATCTATAAATTTCCTGGTTGGTATGAATGAAGTTAAATTTACAAAGCGCTTTCTTTGCTACGACGGAAGCCGCGGTTATTCAGCCACTAGGAAGCTGGTTCGCCGGGAAATTTCTTTAGGATTTTCCGGCTAGATTTTCACTTTTCAGTGTCAGTGGTGCAGGATAGGGGGCCTGACAAGGACAACTGCCCAGTTGTTCGGGTGGGACGGTAAAAGGAGGTCCCGTGTACACATTGGCGTGCGCGTAAAATAAGCCTTGACGGGTTGAGTTGGAATTTGAAATAAGAGTCGCCCGCAGTGTCGCTGTCCGGGCAAATTTCCCTCAGCCCACGGAGCAGAACGGTAGGATATAAAACCCCGTTTCATTTCCTTGAAGATTGACGAAGGGTCATGGGCAAGAATGGAACATCCCAGTAATTGTGACTGAAGTGTACGACCTCTGGTTTTGACTAGCGTTCTTTTGCCGTACTATTTGTTCATATTCCAACTGCTAACTCGGTTTTGGTCCCACTGGAATGACTGGACACACATTTGAATAGGAAGTGAACAGAAATGATTAATATAGGTTATCCGATTTCGACGAAGGGTGAAAATTACACAGTACTGTATACAATAGACTACCCACTACCCACAGCACCGTTTCTTTTCAATATGGCGGGAGGGTAGATGGCTGAATGGTTAACACGTGCGCGCTGTATCATAAGGTCTGTCATTGAGTCAACTGGCGTGGTTTCGATTTCCCGGTTGTACGTGACAAGGAGTAGGGTCGCCTCTCGTGGGTTTTCTCCGGGTCCTGCGGTTTCCTTCCTCACGGCTATTGAAATAAAATTGAACCATGTGTTAGTCCCGAAATGACCTAGTTTGTGTCGAGTGGACTTTAAACCCCATTTCTGTTTATCTGTCTGTTTTTTCCATACACAAAATTACATTTTTTGTAACACACGTATTCAAGAAAGTAGACTTCAAAATACGCAAAGAAATTGTAAACGTAAATTTCAACCGTATACTTTCAATAGACAAAGGAAGTCAAAGTTCGACTAAAAACTTGTATGAAATACTAATATAGCCTTTACCAGGTATCAAGTTTCTCTAAATCAAATCGCAAATTATCTTGTTTAAACATATTCTGCTTTCTTGATAAAAAAATAGCAACATTATGCGACATTCACAGGAAAACACGTATCAAACTCTTTGGCAAATATTTTACATAAATTTGTTCATGCGCACATAATGCAAGTCTGAAAAAGACATTCATTTGAAAGTAATACCCTAACGTGATAGTGAATACACTATACAGGTTATATAATCTTAACATATCAAAAACTGGATTTATTATTTAAACGAAACGTCTGAAAATATTCAGGATGTGTTGAGAACAACAAAATTATTGCATTGATCAACATTCCAGCTCGAAAAGAGCTAAATCTCGTAGACTTGGGTCAAATAAGTATTGAATTAAGTGTCTTAGTGCGATTACTGATACGACAAGCACTGTAACGTACTTTAGAAACCTATAACGCTAACTTTGGGGTATATTCTATGTCCAGAATAACTTGCGGTCTGAAAGTCGGGGGCGGCTTTGAATATATACAGGGGAATTTGGGGTTGTTCTTCTGAAAGCTTTTCAGGTTATTCTTCCAGGGTAATACACAAAAACAGCAGGCTATTCGACTTAATCTTAAACTTACAAAACAAAAATTTAAGGATCTAATTATTGTTTTGTAAGTTTAAGCGTAAGTCGAATAGCCTACTAATTTTTGTTTTAGTTTTGGCTTTCTCTGTTCACAGGATAAAAACCAATATCTGGTATATGATTAAAAGATAGATTGCCATCCCACCAAACAAATAAAAGCCTATGAAATTGACAACTTCTTTCTTAGACGACCAAAGAGTTTTGGGTACCTTAACATCACACAAAACGAATCTACATATAGAATGCAATAAAACTGAAATGAAATGAAATGTGGTTTTATGGCACGTCAGCTCAAAACGGGCTAAATTGCGCCAAAGCAATAAAACTGAAAACACAGATTAGTAGTATAAGGTGGTCGATCAGGAGTAAGCATATATATGGTCAATGAAACATCAAAATCAAAAAAATATGGACGCTTATCTAAGTCTCGTGTTAATTACCACAAAAACTCCATCAACTTGCTAATTGTAAAGAAATGTCCAATGAAATCAAAAATTTAATTTAGCTTCCAAACAAATGAACAGTAATATTAGACGATCGAGTAAGAATAAGCATATTGGTCAATAAAACGTCAAAATCAACAAATATGGACTCTTACCCGGATCCCACATTAATTCACAAAACTCCCTCAACATCCTAATTGTAAGAGAAAGGTTTAGCCGGAACTAAACGTCAAAACCAACAAAAAGGAAGAATAAAGGCACAATGTCTATAGAAGTCGCTCGTCAGTACTGTGCATAGTACTCCTTAGCAATGGAGTATCTAAATGGTGGTTATTTTCAATAAAAGTATTTTGGTATACATGGAAAGTAGAGACACATAATTTTACTAGAAAAATACTGGATTCCCTAAAACAATCGCCGATGGCACCCGCTCAGGATAAAATTGAAAGGACGTCTGTTCGAGTGACGTCAAAGGTTACACACGCAGATTGTCGGAACTCTTTGCATTAGGGAGCGCTTCATGTATGTTAATAAATTATATAATGGCGAAAAGGTAAAGGTACAACAGGTTCTGGGACTAAACTTCGGAATAAAAAGGGCAAGGGATAATCTCATAATTTACTTAGTTTTCGCGAACGCCAAACATGGTTTTTTAAATACATTTTTTATAGCTTGGGGTATTTCCTCGCAATTACAATGTTTTGAGAGGAATTTGAAGCAAATGTGTGACAGATTAATTGGTTTGAATATGTTTTTAGTCAAATACATGTATATATCACCAAATCACGCAGTTTGTACATGGGAAGGCACCTTTAATAGTCCCACGTTCATATATATACAAATTATTATTACTTATATAGTGTTTTACTTTGGATTACAAGATTATCAATGATTCTAACACCTGTTGCATCCCCAACAAAAACAAACTTATAATCATTGTGCTGTATTTACAGAATAACGAAGATTCACCATGGCTTGTAAAATTACTGGATTGACAGCAGCTGAGAAAGCCGCCATTACTGCCTCCTGGAAGATTTTGTCTGTCAATAAAAAGGACAATGGAATGACATTATTTCTAACGTAAGTGGATACTGGATTTAAAACTATAGTCTCGCAACAAATTTTCGATCTAGCTAGGTTGCCACTTGTGTCACTTACAAGCCACTTGAGCGACAGATACGTTGCAGACATTTTACCCAATCTTGGCAAATCGGCCTGTCAAGTTTTAGCAAAGGCAGAGTCAGCAAATATGAAATACGTCACGTGATACTACAACATCTGAGGCTGCTTGTGGCTAGTTCCTGACCAACCAGGTTTATCAGTATATCCTATTGTAGTAATTTTTACTGGTTTTCGACAGTTTGTCGCGGCGTAGGGTGACATTAGCTCATTTGACAATAAACATCGGATCATTATTAATCGCCAAAATCGATCGAATGTCTGATCTGCAAAAAAACGTTTAGTATTTTGATTTCAGACGGGGGCGACAGAACTGGGTATAAATCTGATTTTAACCGCTGGGATTACCGTAAATTGTCCTCTATGAGTGGCCAATATAATGACCATGTCTTTGTTTTTGTGGTATAAAATATACGACAATAATGTCATATTTCACAATGTTGAGGCAGTCCTTTAATCTAAGGGAAATGGCGGATTTCTTGCACCATTTGTAGGACTTAACATTTACTTGGTGGCGTCGTTCATATTATAACCACTGTATATACCTTGGACAGGTCGCCCAACTTGTCGTAAAATATAACGACATCGTTTATTTATTTAATGACATCGTTTTATTTAACGACAGAAGTATGTTGTTCATCGTTCCGTTAAATGTAAGGCATGGTTATGCCATCGTTAAAAGGGTGCAAATTTAACCCACCTAACAGGCATGGTTAAATGATTTAACCTGCCCCAGAAGAAGTAAGTTGTTCATCGTGCCGTTAAATTTAACCCACCTAACACTAACAGGGCATGGTTAAATGATTTAACGGGCCCCAGATGAAAAAATCTAATGGGTATATTCGTCGTTAATCTGATCTTTCTTATTATTTTCTGTAGATTATTTTCCACTTATCCCGACACACTGAACTATTTTAAAGCCTTTGAAAACAAGAGCCTTGATGAGATCAAAGGTATGTCAGATATGAGAGCGCATGCTACCGCTGTCATGTACGCCATGGACTCATTGATCGACAACGTAGATGACCCTGAATGCATGGTGGGCTTGGTCAGAAAAATCGCTAGAAACCACAAGGGACGCAATATTGGAAAAGCCAGATTCGAAGTAAGTATAGGAATGTAATATCTATTGGTGAATAATGTTCACCGGGCATTCTTTTTTTCTCTGTGTCCTAAATGAAGCCAAATCTTTAGGCCAGGCATATACAATTCGCTGTGGAGGTTTTATGGTAAGCACACTTGTTTGTTTTTTTTTTAATTCACTGTGGTAGTTTTATGGTTAGGACAACTGTCTTACAATTCGCTGTGGATATTAATGATACGCACGCTCGTCTCACAACGCGTTTTATGGATAGCACACTCGAGTCACAACTAGAAAGTCCCGGGTTTGAAAACATTTCTTGGGCACTGTTCAATCCGGTTCTCCTTGTTACCAAACATAGGTGCACTGTTGTCAGTTGGATTAAATTATTCAATAAAACCGGGTTATCTCCCTTTCCCTATTTATTACATTTGATCAGACTTTCGGTCAGATATCAAAGACTATACGCTAACCAGTCCTCCAGAACAAAAAAAAAGTGTTGGCGTTGGAGCTCTCCCCGTATTACATTCCCGACCCTCTTGTTGACCTCGTCAGAAAGTCCTTCATGTCACTATAGTCGGGTTGGTGGCTGGTGTTAGGAAGGCATTATTTATCCACCACCCGCCATCTCAGTGCCGATTAACCCTTTTGATAAACTCTTTAATCCACAATTAAAGCCTTTGTCCGGTGATTTTTATTTTTCAGCAACTCCGTAGTTTGTACGGAAATTACCTGGATACCAACCTCGGCAACCGTTCATCCGCCGCAACAAAGAGTGCCTGGGACAAATTCCTGTCGTACATGAATAATCTCATCGAGAAGGAACAGAATGCGTAAATAGCCAGGACGCATGGCACCAGAGGTGAAGAATTGGTCTTGGAAGGGCTTTCTCATATAACGAGATGGAATCAAGCAGCAGAATAAAAATTAGGATATACCTACGCGACGAATAATATATTATTTACAATATGTTAGAGAGCCTTTTATATTCATTTATTATAAATATATCCTGTTAAAGCAACATATTGGGTAACGATGAGGCGTGGTTAGAAATTGAAAGTAGAAATTATGAATTTGAATAATTTTCATTTAGGTCACTTTTCATATTTTCATTCCCTTCTTTGCTTTTTTTTTTTTTGAGAATTTCTTTCAAGGTCTGGTTGGTTTGTTTTTCGTAATATGTCTAAGCATAGGTGTTATTATAAACGTTTATCAAATTATACTTTAATAATTGTGTTATGTGGTGTACACCGCTCAATGGGTCAAATTTCACGAAATATTCTCTTGATCTCTTTTGTCTTTACAAATCCCAACATACTAGTATTCATTTGTAACAAAACTTCGCTAAAACAAATTCACATATTCACAACTACGCACAAATTTTGTATAATTCCTTTATTTGATTATTTATTTTCTTCCATTTTTTAATTCTTGACAAACGTTTAATTAAAAGTCTACGCAAAATGATATAATATAACTGGAAGAAACTTTTAGATTATTCATCTTGTATTAGGGCTTTGGGGTTATCAATATCCTGTGCCCTTGTATACCAACAGCTAAGTCAAATTCGTTTCCACTGAAACACAAACAATATTACCAAAAAATTGTAAAACCGAAACTGCGATAGCAAGGAGTATTGAAAATCACTACCATGAAAGTGTCATTGAACCTACAATAAAAATTTATACTAAATACAAATATCGCGTTTTGCAATCATTTATTTCTAAAATCAGCAAATTAGCCGTTTGGTCTCACAAGTACCCTCGTTAAGTTTTAGCAAGACGTTAAGTGAAACTATGCAATATTTGATAGATCCATTTATACAGCAGGGAGATTGTAGTGCGATGGTCTAAAATGTGAAGGACACCAGAAGTAAATAAAGACCTGAAGAAGTCCGTGGCTTATAAATTTTAATGAACAAAGCAATTATCAAAATATGTTTAAGATTTATGAATCTAAATGTCGATTACAAAATTAGTTTTGATTAATTTACATTTGTTTTCTAAATACCGGTTTTGAGAGTTTGTAATGATTTATATTTCCCACCCGAGTGCTTTCTAAGTGAAATTCTTTAACAATTAAAGTAAAAAGTATGTACATGTATAAGAAAGGGGTTTTTAATGAATGCATTATATTATGTTATTAGCCTTTTTAGTCCTTCGTATTATTTTATGTTTGCTTATGCAGTAAAGGAAATTCACAAATAACACTGTTCTTTATGTTGTAGGGGGTCAAAATACGGATAAATTAACCACACAAAGGTTCAGGTTTACAGACGTTTATTAAAACTATCCAATAAAATCCCCTAGAAAGATTTTTACTGAACTAGCCAAACTGGGACAAGATGAAGTACCTTATGCCCTGTCTTTAAACTGCAAGTTTCAAATCTTTGAATGATACAATACAAATACAAGCTCACACACTGTTGATGAAAGAAAACAACCGAAATACTAATAATTAACTGCAAACTTTACATTTGAAACTTATACCAAGGTCTGATGAAGTATCCAGCCTCACACTACAAGATTCTATCTAAAAGTGACCAAGGTGATGTTACAAACAAACCCAAGAACCTTCGGATCGAAGTTGAAATGAAACACAAGTTATAAGCTGAGTGAACTTGAACTCACTGGGTACCTTTAGGTAGAGCGTACAGAATAGGACAGTTGGAAGATGCAATGATGTGTAACATATTATGTAAGATTAAATTAGCACTGTGACAACATTAAAATACACATACAAGACCATAATCCCTCTCGATGCCACAGGATAGCTCCGATTTTCAGTCGATTAGAACCGTTCGGTCATAATGATTTAATTTAAAGTAAAGCATGGTTAAGACTCGAATGACCATTACAGTGGTTACGATCAATGCACACATCCATTGAAATTTTCAACATATATATTTTTGCATTATCTATTTTTGAAATATTATAGCGAGAACGACCAGCTCTTTGTCGAAATCTTACATAATGCATTGTAAAATAATCTATTACTGGGACTGGATTATGAATGACGAATTTTTTGGAATGGGGAAATATTTAAATATATATAATGCTGTTGCAAGTGATATGGTGTTCTCAAATTATGTATAATATTCTTCAAATATATGTTAAAAAAAGAACATATGGAGAAAACGACTAACAAACTAACAAAATTCACTCCCTCCTCTTTTTCAGTTGCCCTTTTCACTTTACTAAATTATGGCCTAGATTCTGCACGTTAAATTGATGTGTCGATATGCAAACTGTAACGGATGTAGCTGACGACAGTACACACAAATAATGTAACGTTATATCTAGCCTTGGTGTACCCAATACATGGGAAACATATAAGGCATATTTGCAATGCAAACAAGGGAGATAAAATTAATCCACTTTACCTCAGACATTAGACCATATAATAATATATTTAAAGGTGTTTCTACGTTTGAAAACTAATATTCATTAGTATATTGATATTCATTTGGGGGTTGGATGGCCGAAAAGTTAGCACGTGCGCGCTGTATTATTAGGTATGTCACTGAGTCAACTGGCGTGATTTCGATTCCTAAGTTGTATGTGACAAGGAGTAGGGTCGTCTGTCAATCCTCGTGGGTTTTCTCAGTGCTCTCACAACGCGCAAGCGAATTATTGAAAAAAAATTGAACCATGTGTTAGTCCCGAAATGACCTACTCTCTCTCTCTCTCTCTCTCTCTCTCTCTCTCTTATTAAATCCCGTTTTCATTAGTCTAGTGGGACCAGAACAATATGACGTTAAAACTCATTTCATTTTATTTCCTTTATTAAATACTAAAGTCTTTTCAATATTTACTTCTTCTAGCTTCCACTCTTTCCAATATTCAAAAAAATATTCACATTAATTTTGTAATAATATAGTGTCATCAGCATAGGAGAAGCAATAATTTTAGATATACCGTAAGCTCATTAAATGTTCACATCCGATTACATTTTATTACTCTAAATAGTCTTGCACACCGTTCAAACATGATAGATAATAATAGGCGTATAATGCATTATGTAAGAGGTAAATTTGCCTATTGCAGGTCTTTCTTATATAAATGTTATATAAATTATTAATTAGATATTTATTAACATGACAAGATCATACTCAACTCTCTATGCTATAGAATGGCTCCGATTTTAAGTAGATTAGAACGGTTCGGCCATTTAATGATTTAATTTAAAAATGGAGAAGCAAGGATACGATGGTTACCATAAATGCACACATCTTGCCAAAACTACAATCATTGATAATTTCGATCAAAATAAAGTAAACTGAAAGACATTTTCAATATATTTACTTTGCATTATCTATTTTTGAAATATTATAGCGATAACAGCCAGCTCTTTATCTAAACCGTACATGATGCCCCTTTAATCTATTGTAATAAAAAGAACAATTTGGGACCCTGTCTATGAATGGGTTAACCCATATGAAGGACACGACTGACAAAATACATCCATTCTGCTTTTTGAGTGGCCCTAAGATTAAGACCTAGATTCTGCATATGCCTGACAATGTGCAAATTGTAACGGCTGCAGCTGGCGACAGTTTACAGTTTACTGTACTTATTCATGGGGGGTGGGGGCTAGTGGTCTATAATTTCGAGCTTCGAGCTCTAGGTGTCCTGCTACATCTGACTTGAGGTTGTGGTGTCCATCCCTGATGTGACAGTATGTGGCTTGGAGGTAGGAGCGCCTTCTCAACCTCGTGGGTTTACTCCGGGTTCTCCGGTTTCTTCCTACATGAAGTCTCTGCGTGTGCGCTAAACATAAACATAGGACATAGATATCACCATTGGAAGACAATATCGGAGTTTATTTAACATTTATATAAATATACCTCTGCACTCTTTATTATTTATGTACATAAAGTGTCAGCATTACTGGGAATATTATTACAGGCACTTGAA